TGCAATTACATTGGTCAAATTTGTATATCAACCAATGAAATTGTAAAAAAACTACTCCGCTTTAGCCTACCCCAATAATGAGTAATGCTGCTAAAAATAGATTAATTAGTTAGCAACGTAGATTTCAGCTAGAGTCGGTGTTCGAAGTGAGAGATTCCTTTATACATATCACTATTGTTGGAGTATCGCATTTACTCTGAACATGCACGATTGATATCTAATTCTCTGAATTAATTGATATAGACGTTCGTTTGTTTGACAGATTTCAAATTGATACGGAAAGTCTAGACTCGCTCCTCTTTGTAATTGTGAACCACTAATCCCTATATCGGAGAAGGATAATCGCCTCTTGCCCCGCGATTGTTCGAGTGGCATTTACTGTTACTTATTGAAATGCATTTATTACATTATACCCCACCGGCAGACAATCAAATTAATTCCACGATAGAGAACCGTGATTGTACTCGAGAATAAATCTACTCCTCGACGCGTAAGTAGGAAAGCCTGATTTAAAAGTCACTAACTGTAAACCGATATTTAACTATTAGAAGGAGAAGACACGCTCCGTGCGAAAGTAGCTAAATTCCCAGTACCGACAATTGACTGAACTCTCGTGGGGCTATATTAATATACACCAACTCTATTTCTTTTTTCGGATCCAATGGGACACTTGGTGGTTTTAGGAACTGATTTGGTGATACTTTGCTTGTTAGAGCGAGTATGCTGCTTGGCATGCCAATTAGATGCAATAGTTATCTATTATTTATTTATATATTTAACTGATGTATTAATGGTATTTTATGTAATATTAATGTAATTAAATGATAAAGACAAGAAACAAAAAAAAGCTCATCAAATAAATGATTCCCCGTCTGACCTTGCAAACTTGCCCACATCGTAAATGCAACGTTATACGAAAAACAACAACTTGTTCCAACGTTATTACAAAGGCAGACTCGTCAAGTCGGACGGCGCATCGTGTTGACCGAACTTATCACGTATCATATGAATTTATTATGCCTGAACACCTTCACCAACCACAGAAGGTCCAGGAAAACATACCAAGCCTTCCAACAGCGACGTGTAGGATTTGAAATCACCCTGGACTAAAGGCTATAAACTAGGCGTAGCGACTTTCGAATGCGCTAACAAGATTGTGCTACCAAATATCAAATAAATAAATAAAAAATTAGTATTAGTCTGCTAAAGATAAGAGACGCAAAACGGGAGTTGTTTAATTGACACTATGTAATGTTGGTAAGACAAAATCTCTGGCGTTCGGAACTTCTGTAACGCGTGGCACGAATGAATGTTAATTTGTTGTCATGACATCACTGATAACGAGGGTCCACGAGAGAAGGAAATTTTTACATAGACAAGTCGAGACCGTTATTCGTAAACAAGTTATTCTTAGAGCAAGCAGCACGTCATAGTCATGCTATATCATCACATACATAAAACTATAATTTTTAACCCTGAAATTCGTATAGTATTTTAATGCGTGCTATATAGGGAAGAAAGTCTTGTATCCCTGAAATTCTTGTTGGCGTTTGTTTTGTTCCAATTCCTTCATCAGGCTTAGGAAATGTTTGCACGGTAGTATATCGTTGGTGACATCTTACCCCGATTCAGCCAAAAACATGTTCCTCCGAATGAAGAATGTTTCGCTCGAGTTGGTGGGTACCTATCTTTGTATCTATTTATCTATCCATCTCGTCCCATCTTGTGTCTTTTTTTGGCACACAAGCAGGCACTACTAGTCGTGCCCCAGTCTGGATACCTTGGGCTTTCTGTGTAATCGTAACGTATGCGTGTTATTATTATACGTGGGAACTGATCCACGACCGTTCTAGACAAGGTCACCACTAACATTAAAGTTATGATACAAACAGGATCTCGTATATTCGTGTTGCATACAATTAGGCGCATCAACGATAAGCGGCAAATTACAAAGGGTGCAAAAGTCAGGTTGGCAGGCCAGGAAATTGTCATAGCAATAAAGATAATGGGAATAGCGCAAATCATTCGTGTAGTTTAGTTGTATCGATCTTTATAGTTATGATGTATGAGCGACAAATAGAGTACGCAACCTGTTTGTATCATAACGCTGAGATAGAGAAGCTATATAAGTTGATATTTATAAACCATATACTATAAACAATATTTACAAAGTGAAGTAAATAGATATAAAGCGTAGAAAGATTGTTATCATACAAGTTAATCCAAACGAGATGTGGGAGATCTGTAACAGTAAAGTGGGTTTAATAAATTTGGCATGTTGGAATTTTAATAAGCCCCAAATATTCAGTGGCTTTTTTTTTTTAAAAAAGTAAGGTATATACGATATATACCTCTTGGTAATCTTATGTATAAAAAAAATTCTAATACGAGATTGTATATGAGAGTAGATGAATATTGAACAAAAGGGAGGATTTTATAGACTATTATTACAAACGACGATGATTGAAATTTGTGCTGTGTGTATAGGTAGTATAGAATAAAAGGGATTTTTTGTTTGAAAACTTTTTGTTTCATAGAGTCCTTTTTCTCATGCACAAAAAGCCTTCCATTAATATATCCTTATATAATTCATGTTTTTTTTCCGCGATTCTTTTCGTTCCCCACTTGATTATTATTTGATATATAACTCTTCGTTCTAACGATCTTATATAAAGTATGTCAACTAGAGCACTTGCCCGTTGAACACCATCGAAGAACACCAGTGTACGATATCCTTGACGTTGCTTGCGATGTGGACAGCCCTATCCACTAATCCAACTCCATCAAATTCGAAATCGTCCCCTCGATCCCTCTGGTTCTGACTTGCAGACAATATAGAAGACGTTTCAAAATCATCAAAGATGTCCGGCGCAAATACGCCGAACCCTGTATAGTCATCTGCGTCCAGTTCGTCCGACCAAACGCACGAGTTGGAATATGTTGGGTACGGAAGGGAAGTTTGCAATGGGATTGCGTTGGGAGACGACGACAAGCAACAGTTGTCAGAGGGTGACTGTATTTGTATCGGCGAACTGTCGATGGTCGGTGACGATGGCGTTGCAGTAGTAGTAGCAGCACGTTGTGTCGAACGAGACGAAGAAGAAGAAGAGTATCCAGACGAACGTCCAGATGAATGCTTGGAATTTCGTCGGCTCGAATACAAGGCCGAATATTGATTGTCGGCAATCCTGTCCTCTTTCAATGTCGTCGGTTCCAGTTTACATATGGTTGAGTAATCATTCGACGTTATTCGTCGTCGTCTAGATATCTTCATTACTATTGCACTGGAGTCACTATTGCTCCCGGAGTCACTATTGCTTCCACTTTCGTTGCCGTTATCTTCTTCTTCTTCTTCTTCCTCGTCCTCTTCCGAATCGACGGCAATGTATTGTTCCACCTTGTTGTTGAATCTGATTTTTCCCATGGAAATTGAACTTTTTGACGAGACGCTGGAATCGTCCGATTCCTTTTGGTAGAGTTGGGTATCCGACGAGCTGCTGTTTAAACAAGGACGGGACCTTGGATTGAATCGGAATATTTCCGAAATGGATTTTGATTTTTTCTTGAGGCATGATTTGTGACAATCGAGTTTGTCACCTGTCGTTTGTGATTTTGGAGACGTTTCCAATAAAAGTGGACCATAAGTATGTAGTGGACCATAGAGCCAAGTTACGTCACTGTCTTTCAACCTGAAGATGGAGAACAACATAAGTAAAAAAATATATATCGAGTTTTATCAATCGATTACTAGGTGCCGACACTTACCAGTTCAATTTCGAGGGGTTGACAGTTTGGAGGTGATACTTTTGTTTAGTCCAAGTCCTCCAGCTGGCATTTTCCAGCCTAATTCCATTAGCAAGCTCCTTCTTTTGTTTAGACATGGCCTTCCAGGAAGTCTGTAGATCATATTCATCCCATTCGTAGCTCAGATAGTCGACGCATATCTCTGGAGGCCTTGATATACCAGAGAGGTTGTCGTCAGGTATAATTGCTGGCAACGTAAAGCTACGCTGAGGAAAGCGTTGGCTCGTTTGTTTCATTGATTTGGGATTGCGGGAAGTACCCGCGGGTGATTGATGTATTATTGAGGGCAGTTTGGTGAATGTAAAGCCGGTTGTTGGGAATGGCCAACAACGCGTGAGATGTAGTGTGGTGTGTAGGAAAGGTCACAGTTGACGTTGTAGAGTCGAGTTCTGTCACAGTTGATGTTGTAGAGTCGAGTTCTCTGGTTGATTGATTGCTGTGGGTATACGTGTTGATGTTGTTCGCTATGGGTATTTCAGTCTGCAGTAGCGAAAGTGTTAATAACACAGCTGAGGGTGGAGAGAGAACTGGAGAGCAAGAGTGAGGCGGGGTTGGGTGTATTTATATCAGTCAGTCGCTCACCACTGACTCTGAAATAGATTAATTGATGACAGTACTCGTAGTAAGAAGAGAGAGAAGGCAAGTAAACTCGTTTAAACAGGTGGGTGATGATTGTTTGGGCATTATATATACTTTGTAAATAATGTTTCAGTAGAATAGGCACAATGGTATTTAAATGGTAGGATTAATGACATGTATAAAAAAAATTTTTATTTATAAACGTTGAGTATTTTTGCATGTGCAGAATATAATTAATATACGCACATCTTATTTGAAAATGGATTTATTTACTAGAAATGTGAGAAAAAATCGACTGCGTATAAATAATAGTAACGTACAATTAGTTTATCAATGCAGCAATGCAATGCAGCAATGGTGACTACAGGGTTTGACTGACCATAGTAGTAACTGTCTACCTGTTACAAAGAGTCAGTCACTCACCAACTATAGTTGTCACTCACCCCAACAAAATATATTGCCATGTCCGCAGCAGCAACATACAATACGCTGCATATCATTCATTATTCTCATTATTCTCTTTCGACTACCAAGACTACCATTTGCTGGCCGTCCAATGAGAGCGGTTGTCACGAGGAAGGGAAAATTCGGAAGCATACAAATTTCATGTCAGTCATAATTTATGAGTCAAACCTCACACACCTCACACCAAATATCTTGCCTAGCGATCATTTCCGTGGTTATCGGAAGAAAACGGAACCGTATAGTAAGACAGCTAGGAGATGCGTGCGTGCGTGCGTGCGTGCTAAGTGTTCTTTTTTTACTGTGTAAAGCCATGTAATAATTGTAATAATAGCAAGCTCACACCAACACCCCAGCTCACCCCCTTCGTTACAAATATGCGCTGTCGTCATCATGTCGGCCATTACTTAGTCGCAAGCCTTAATATGTATGTAGTAATACACAAGGACGATCGTCTAATTTGAAAATGTGCGAAAACTCTGTAAACAAACAATTTGATATTGTCTGTTCATTTCCAAGTAGAGAAAAACATTGAAATGGGTAACCTTGAAGCTTAGTAAAATGTTTAAAAGGGGAAACGCAGCAAGCATAGCATCTGCGGGACTTTTTGGAACACACATCCTTTTGGTTCGGGCGATATACATAAACAATGCGCCATACGAACACAATTGCCCATATCCGAATGGCTCCGTCATTATCGCAATTTGCTTTGTGTGGTTGATGATGACGCCCTATCCATCCTATCGATATCTCGATAAGACGGACAAGTCGAAAGATTGGTCCAATTGATATATGGATATGAGATTACAGCAATTAATAGAAAGCAGGGGGGAAACCCATTTTTGCATGAGTGTACTGTATAACTGATAAAAATATCTCTCATATCGATAATACTACTACGCATATCTTCATATCAGTGATTAGTAATGATATTCCTTTTTGCCCATCAATCCCATTCAGAAACCTTGTGAATGCTAGTCGAAAAGGCAACCAGTATGTGGGGTAAAACAACAAACTGGGAAAATCGTAAAAGCTCCGCCAATTAACAAAGAAGGGGGGAGAGGAGGGAGGAGGGAGGAAGGGAAGGATGGCAGAGCGTTAAACAGAATACTCGATAAAGCAAAAACCTAAATCAACAATAGGTAAATCACATCTTCAAATAGACTTTACAATACAATACAATACGATTTACGTCTCTCGTCTTCATACGCCTCAATGTGTTCTTTGTTGGACATTGGAATTCCGGCAGCTCATATTGCAAATCGTTTGTCTACCCTAACCCTTCTTTCTTCTTCCATGGTCACACACACCACACCATACCACTGATCATTGCCCTTTTGACGCACTCGTCGGGCCTGCACATTGTCAAGCTGTCCTAAGCGTTTCCACAGTATTTCCTTTTATCGCTCCATTTACTACCATAGCACAAACACTACATGCAGCAATCAGGTTGTCTACTTTATGTTGGAGGCACTCGCTATTGGTTTCGATTATAGCACGGATGAAATATGACTTACTCGTTGGGGGAATGATAAGGGCAAAAGGGAGTCTTATAATAAATGTTGTACACTACTCTTAATAACAAACGAACTATCAATGTTGTCGCACGAAAAAATACTCTATCTAACAAGTATCTATCAGAAAAGTGTAAGAAATTCTCTTTGTTTCATCCTCTCCGCCGCCCCCCCTCCCACCTCGCCCTCTTCTCCATATCTGTATAAATGCATGAATGATATCGTTCGTTAACATGGTACTTGCGCAATTTTTCTATATATCGTTCAGACATGTGGCAAAGTTTATTCTTGGGTGTTGTGTTCTTATCAGTGCATATTTGGTGAGTGCATATTTTGTGAGTACACATATATCAGCAAAGTCAAAGTGACTATAGGGGAAAAAAGGGTGAAGGCCCGAAATCATAAATACAAAACGTATGCAAAGCGTATGTAAATCGTACCATATCACGTTATTTCAATGAAAAGTCGCAATTTTACAATGAAATAGACTCATGAGCAATCCTTATCCCATCATGCCATTGTTACTAGCACATATTGCCATCTCTGCAGTCGATTGCACCATAATCACAATAAGAATTGTTCACAAACGAAATACCCGATCGATCCAACCGTTCAAATTTCTCCACTGTGCTCGAGGTACCCGTATTTCGAAATGCACTAACCCCATCTCATCTCTAACCCTAACCCTAACCCTAACCCCAATCTCTAATAATGGACAACGGCCAGCCCAAGCCACTGACAAACAATCCTTAAGTGAAAACATTCCAAATACCGTACTAACCCCCGCCAATTTGCATCTGTCAAAACGTGACTGTCAACAAACAAATTATAGCACAGAATGATAAACTATTGTTGATTGTTTAATCGCACACTTACAATTATTGACCGTCCTCATTGTTTGTTCATTTCTCCTCTCTCTCACATGAATGCGATAACACACAAAGTATTTCTAAAACCTTGTCTTTGGCGGAGCTGCGTCGTCAATTAAATGGATAACAATGTTGCTAATGAGAAAAAGTCCAGGGAACTGACGAGAGGAACTGTGGACATGTATCTTGGGTAACAAACAATGGTTTGTTTATTCGCCGCAATGGGATTACAGGGGTCATAGGTATTGTACCACAATATTCGATTAAGAGTAATTAACAATATATCAACATTTTCCATAGTACTGTGATCGATCCAATAAACCAATACCCATCCATAAAGAATCTTTGCTGATCAGCGAGCAACGGACCGATCGAGCATAGCCCGACATTTCTATAGCCCATCCCTTCTTTGCATGGGCGAATAGAATATCATCACGACGAACGCTCTTTAATTAGCCGCAATCGGTTGATTAACGAAACTCTACCGTATGAATGGCCACACTGATAAACACGTTGGTCGCACATATCTTCAAACTTGCTCAAGCGTCAAAAATACAGCCGAATAAAACGTATCCATCTGTGCGAAACAGAAATCTACTTTTAAAACGTGGGTTCACAAGATCTTCCTCAGGTTATCTCGAAAACGTTCAAGACTAATCCGCACAATTCACATGAACTGCATATCCGCCAAGACCGAGTTTTACTATATGAAAAGGTTGATATGCATAAACTTGGCCATATTAATATGAGATGAGCTACTTATAAATGTGATACATTAATTTAGCAGCTATGTATACACGAGCTTGCCCATAAGAATAGGAGAAAAAGGGAAATTAAATTTGTTATAGACAGATTTGCTTTTAGCCTATTGAGCATCGATGGGTTGAATACGTAGTATACTATTTAATACGTAGTATACTATTTAATGCGTAGTATACTATTGAATACGTGTCAACATTGGGAGGATTTCTAATTGGACAACAGCATTTCTTGCAACTCACATGACCGCAGGACTGTTTTTTGAGTAATGCATACCGACATCATCTTGCTGCTTTTTTTTTTCAATGTCGCAGTTAAAAAATGGATTAATTAGTCCATCTGCGGTCTTTTGCCGCGAACAAACACATCAACGTTCTCCACCTGAAAATACAGCAAGATGTCGCAGTCAAAAATAGATTAATTAGCCCATCTATAACAGCGGGGATGACGATCCGGAAAATTGGTAGTTGAAAATCTTATGCTAATTGACTAACCATAAATTTCCTTATATTAGTACCCGACATAAATGTGCTGTCGACTATCTTTGATATTTTTAGAATTTGACTCTGGTTTGCAAGATTCCTCTTATTCTTTTTTACGCAAATCTACAAGTAAATGGGTTATAATTGGTCAAGAATAGCCGATGCGGGGTAAGGAGAGAGGAGCAGCAATCCCTTGCAGTCCAGTTTCACGATTAAAAAATTTTTTGTAACAAACATGTGTTGGGTTAGACAACTTGGCGGGCGTCGACAGCCCCATCGATGCAATGAGTGAATCTCTGCAATTGAACTTTTTTTTTTTCCTCTTTTTTTCCTTTCCCCATTACCCTCTCTGCACAATCAGCCCCCTTCTCCCCCCAACCATCCATACGCCATTTCCCCATATTTTCTCTGACAAGTATAGACAACGTAATTTCCCCATTAAGCTTACTCTACCTACAATCCAATATACACACATGATATTCTTCTCAACAATGAATGGAATACGTATGCAGAATGCAACATCATTAAAAATTGCTTTCCCCACAAATTCCATATCCTTTTTTAGATTAGCGTGAGTAGGAATATAACAAACAGACTTGCAATGTATTAATGATGTTATACAGTCAATTAATACTAAATGTGATGGAGTATCGTATTTATTGTTCAAGTTTATTATTATTGTGATATTCCAGTTGTTCCCACATTAATTGAGGACCGAATAAACAGCAATGTTGTATTGGAGTGAAAACTGAAAAGAATGTAAACTGAAGAATGTAAACTAAAGAATGTAAACTGAAGAATGTAAACTGAAGAATATAAATTAAAGAATGCAAATTGAAGAATGTAAACTAAAGAATATAAACTGAAGAATTGTCAATTGCCCCCGATTGACATTAGTTCTCTTCTCTCAAGTCAATAGATTCCAGTCAATAAATCTTTGAACGTTATTATTACAATGCTTTACTTTACAGATAAAGTTCATTTAACCAAATTTGTGCCTTAAGGTATTCGGTCTCCCCAATGTCGAAGAAAGCCCCATCTTATTTTCCCCCCTGCCTTTCAAGAACTATGAACCTTATTCTCTTAATTTCCCAGGTACACAAAACGTTGCAAAAGTGTGGGGTAAAAGGTCACTTGGGTCCTTCCAAACAATTCAAACAGCGAAACCTTATCAATTGTGCAGAATAGAGGGCTATTGTTATATGGCTTATTTATTTCAAATTCGCATAACCAACCTTAGTTTTTGTGCGTTTTCCCGAGTCATCTCCGAGTCGAACTACAATCTTTCTCAGCAATTTATTGGCGAATTGTTAGATCTTCACATAACCGAATAATAGTAATCTCAATCTGCCATAAAAGATAGACAAATAAACGGCAAGTATTTTGTCCCTTGTTGTTAGTCTATTATTCTGTTCGTTGGGGTTCTATTGGTCCATTATTGTGTGATCTACCCAAGTCACGTTAGATGACCGGGGTACCCACTATTAATATGATAATAAGTGTACGATGGGCAGAGGTGATTGGATAAACAACACAATGAGATTGTATTTATTGTCGCTGCAATAGGAAAACTGTCCATATTAATTAAAGCTGGTGAATGTCCAATTAATTCAATTTTCGTATTTGGAAAAGGGCGTGGGGAAAAAAAACGTAACCTTATTGACTTTACCATATTTGAGAAACTCGCAAAGAAAATTCAAGCACAAGCCTCAACATTTTCCAAATGACTACAAAACCCGCGAACGGCTGTATGAGGAGAAGATCTATTGAAGAATTAGGAACCAATTTTAAATATATAAACGTATTTCATTTGAAACTGAGAAAAGGAAATATGTCATTGTGGGGTGGGAAAATCGACATGCAGATTGGCGAGGAACAATAAAGAAAGTTTTTCGTTGAGGAAGAAGAAAAAGGGGGAAAAAAAAGAAGGAAAAAAAGAAAGGAAAACGGAAAACGAAACGAAAAGAAAAGAAAGGGCAACCTAGTCTTTGAGTATCAAAAGTTATTATGTAGTAAAAGGATAGGAACTTTGCAGTACTCCAACTCATTAACTGCTTATCAATTGGGTTACCGATACGGCGGATCTGTTGCATTGCATTAGTTCGTTTGTGGCTAGCGTTACTAGAAATGAGAATATGCAATTGTTATCCTAATGATCAGAAAGTCGCTGCCTGCTGATGAGCATTGTGTCCCAGACTACGCAGCACAACATCTCAATCATTACTGCGTTCCCAGGGTTCGATAATGGTTTCTACAATCCGAACATTCTACTAACAAGTGGCTTTTCTTTTTTTTACAAAGCGAGATTTCTAAACCAATGATATCGATTACCCAGTCCGTTATCGCTATCTTCCAGTATCTGTTGAGAATTAGCTTTCCAGTTTGCAAATATTGATCTAGTCTTCTTGTTCCCTTTTAAACCAAGCCACAATTCACAGTGTGTAACAACAGCTCATGCAATCCTCAGTCAGGCCTGAGTAACAACAGGCCTCCAACATTTACAATCGACTCTTTTAACCAAGTCGTTACAAATTTGCAACGAAGATCCGGGCCAATAGATTTACCACTCCAAATGTTCTTATTGTTTATTCGAGACGTTCTTTGTGCTTGAGAAAAAAAAAAAAAGATTGCCGAGGCGATTAGGTAAGACAGATAGAAAAAGAACAGGGACTAGAAGAATGAATGAACATCGATTGTTGGATGCATGAATAGAGCATCAATTTTCTTTTGATGTGAGAACTGGAATAAGACTATCAAAGGAATGTGTGTCACATTCAGATTAATTGATAACGGGGTTATCGAAAAATGGGGCGTCATCAAGTTTGTGTATGCAGACAGTTGCTGATAAACCGGTTAAAATGCATTGGAATATTGAATGATAATAAGCCCAGTTTGTATGAATGGGGAGATGCGGCAATGAAACGTTTGCTCGACTCCCGGTTGCAGAGAGAAACAATGGATTCTAATGATGCACTGACAAAGAACAGATAACTGAATAAGACAAATATAGATACGTCAATGAGGTGGCGATATTGCGAGATAACGACACGATAAGAGTTCAACTAATAATAATAATGATTATTACCACCCTTGCTATTATTATTGTTATTATTATCGTTATTATTATTATTATTATTATTATTATTATCGCTCTTATCAGGCCATCGTTATCGTTATTGTTACTTGTAAAAATAATCGCTTGTCCGAATTATTAGATCGGCAGTCATATTACCGTCTCTATCCATAATTAAAAGCAAAGCCTATTATTCACTCGGCCGTTGTCGATCTCTCTTTCCTCGATGCATTTGGAAATAGCTTAACATTTAGAATATCGATCATGTTTGTGTGTGAGAGAAAATGTTTCTGAATGGGAAGAGAAAACAGGAATTCAATACATAAGCAGGGCATGTGAAATAGTATTAGATTATAGGTGGATAAACCGGGCATGTAATATACTTATTTGGTAGTTGGTGATGTGCCGATAACAACGTTTATACGCTTGTACCTTATCATTCGCTTCATCAACTGCATGACGAAAAAAAAAAAAGTCGCAACTCGTCCCAATTAGACCGCTAACTGGAAACCTTAGGCTGCATCCATTAAACATCCATTCAACACCATCGAGTCGTGCATTCCTGCTGTGCATTTTGGGGTGAGTGTCACGCTTTTTAAACAATAAACTAGGTGGCAATAGTATGCATTCCTGCTGTGCATTTTGGGGGGGGGGGGTGAATGTCATGCTTTTTAATAAAACTAGGTAGGCAACCGTATGTATTGCTGACGAAAGATATCATGACTGTGTCGTCATTCAATTGACGACAAGTCACGTTGCCACTGTCACATCATCTGACGAGTTTTGTCGTCATTTCGGTAGAAGCTTCTATGCATTTTTGAGATTAATTGTGTCAATTGGGCTTTATCCATTAGATTTGCAGAGAGAGACACGTGTCATGCGAAAGTGTCACGTCGACACTGCGCGATGCGAGAAATCCTCTCTGCTAGATATCGAGGTGTAAAAGATAAGAGCGAGCGCTTCCCATACAAAAGCTATCAACTTGTATTCGTTGAAATCCAAATGCCTGCCACAGATTTAGGGAAAAAACCATTGGTCATATTTATTAAAATAATCAGAGGTCTCAAAGCAAATTTTATAGTCTCGGCCATATTCATGATCTTACTTTGTTGTTAATTATTAATATTACTATTATTTTTAAATTGCGAAATTTTTGCTGCACTGTTCGGAGGGGAGAGTAATTTCCCCCCTCTCTTTTTTTTTTAGAAGGATTAGGGATGTTATTTGGAGAAGTAACAGACTACAGGAGGACGGCATGCTCCGTAGCTGTTGATTTTCTCTACACAACAATTACGAGACTGTTCTTCTGATTGCAAAAGTTGTAGAAATCCACAAATAATGTATAATTAGCAAACACAAAGTTCAGTAGAGAATGTCGCGAAGACGCGTAGTGAGTTGTAGTTCGGATTCCAAACTGTCGTTTCAAAATCTACCAGCCCAACTCTAATGACAAGGCAATCTGAATAGTAATTACCCGATTATATAAAGCAAATAATGCGGTAATTGTTTGAAGAAAATTTCGTGCAATTAAAACAAACAAAGCGCGTCTTGACCGAGTTTGGTTCTATACATTACAGAGGAATGTTTATACATTGGGGAAACCAAATTCTAGAACGAAATAACTGTCATCTGAGACCACACTAATCTGAATTCAATTTTAGCTTAAAAACAGAAAAATTAACCCGCATACTAATACTAATACAATCAAAATTTGAAATATTTATCCAGTATTTACTAATTTTAGTTGTTAGCGGATATAAGACTTCCCTATTGTTGGAGTCTAGCCAAGGATTTACGTAAATAGTATTTTACAATTATTGTTTGGAAGTCGTGGTAATTTATAATTGCCCTATGCATTATTATTATGTTCAAAGTTATTTAGTAATGAACGCTAGTGCCAGCATCGATCTCACGTCCATGCAGATACGCGCCAGTTTTCTGATATTAGTATTGAGCGATACCCCCACATATTAATTAGTAATCCAGGTATAAAGTTAAAATTGTCCGCCCGTTTATCGTTGATATTGCTATCATTATAAGTATTCAAAACTAATATTGAACAAATCCTTCAACATAAAAACCGATTTTATTCTCCTTTCATTATGTATTACTTCCGAATCTGGTAGTTGTTACTCTCTTTGTTAAATTATAATCGAAATCTATACTGATTATTCTATTTCAGTAATTACAACTCCTCACGACCCTTCGGTTTTGGGGGGACGGTCGAAGAAACGCTTGAAGAAACGCTTGGAGAAACGCTTGAAGAAACGCTTGACGGCTCTTGTTGGCCAGTTTTTTCGCTGCTGGTCGACGTGGATACAATTTTATCATCTTCATCACACGGCCCGATACCAGTAGCACATGCCAGACTTTTTTTCTCCTTTGCTATCCTCGCCGCAAACGCGGCCACTTCGTTATCATAGGACTCCCATTCCGGAACTTGACGACGAGCGCGGTCAAGTTTTGGTTCCTTGGTTAACGGATTGTTACACTAAAAAACCAATTGATTAGCACATATTGACACAATAGACTTTTAGCAAAGTTTACGGATGGTTACCAAATCGATAGTCTTTGCAGTTGCCAGAGACTCGTCGCTGCACCAAGTCTCGCACCACAGCCACTCTTGTGGTAACGAGAAGATAGGAACATCGTGTTGCATGTTATTCGGCAAATCCTGATCGAGATTAGCCAAGGAGTTGGGATCAGCGCTTAACATTTGATATTGACCGCGCAACCGGTCGCCAGCCGCCATCTGACGGAATCGATGCAAGTCAATGACGTACAATGCACTGTTTGTTATACCGCCCACAACAAGAGTTTTAGTATGTGAACGAACGTACGTGATGTGATGTAAAGGGAAAAGACAACCAAAAAAGTAGAATACCTAATATGATAGGGCTTGCCACGCAAATGTTCCTTCCAATATCCTCCTTTCCAAAAACGAAATCCGTCCATTTCTGGACGGTTGTCGCAGAATGGAGTGTATCCATATGGTGCACCCTTGAGGTCCATATCTATTAGTTCTTTCAAGTCTGTGCGCACGATTTGGTCCGCGTCCACAAAGATCACTTTACCCAAGTCAAGAGGGAAAAGTACGTCAAGGAATAAAATTTTGTACCTAGAGACGTTAATTATCAAACATGTTAATAAGCCTTCATAAGAAATACGTCGCAATGCTGGGCTTCTGGGCTGATGTTTTTAATAGCCCAACTCTCGCTTAGTGCTACGAATCGGACCTTGCTATTCAGTCGATCATATAATAGGGGACATTAACGACCCAAATAATAGCCGGCTCCGATTGTGGGAACCCGTTTCGTACTCGAGTCTGACAGTTACTCCGATTCGTAGCACTGTAAACCTGTCGCACCCGAAAACCCAAGTCGATACTTGCCCCCATATCGTTCGTTGTTTCTCGCTTTGCTTGCGAAGCCAATGTGGCCATTTGTAAGTGACAAGTTCGTATTCGAATTTGTATTCTTTCGCCATCTCACCTATAAATTTCTGTACAGGGAAAAATTCGTTCGTTAGCGATTCGTTATTTTGCAAGTAGTAAAGGTAAAGTGCTTTTACGGCGGTTTACCTTGAATGAGGGTGATAAAAAGTTCTCAATGAACCAAAACTTGACCGTGCTCTTGGTATGTCGCAGCACGCCAACAATCATTATAGACAAAAATCGTTCGTACAGATGACCCGAGGCAACGGAAAATATGTTGATTTCAGCATTATTATCTTTTGTAACTTCGCCATTTTTGTTCGAGAATCTAATAAATGAGATAAGTTTGTCATATAGCAAATTAAAAAGTTGGGTCCTGTTTACTTGAGCATTTCCTGTGACACTACTTTACCCATATTACCCCCAACGAAAATACTTACTTATTCTTAACAAAATCCCACAAACCTCCTTCCTTGTTCTCGCTTCCTTCCAAGACGTCTTCTCTTTCCATACCAGGTTTCCGGTTAACCCTCGGATAAATTAACGCACCCTCAAAATTCGTAATGACAATATCCACACCAGTCTTGTCGATTCCCCTACTATACCAGCCTTCACTCCCGACACTTTCAATCTCGTATATTTCTCTCGATCGCCCTTCTCTTAGCCCCAACTCCCAAACGCCAGGATTAGCCTTTAGTTGAAAATATCCTAGATTCGCCATGACGATCGTATCTTCTATGGCAGGCTGTGCCTTTGCTCCAAGAATGAGTTGCAGTCCGCGTGGTGTTATGCCCGAGGTATCGCGAGCATGTCCTTCGACAAGGATGTTTTCCAGTTCGAAAATGGCTTCGATCGGTTTGCGCCGAGAGCGCGAGTCGAGAGCAGATAAGCGAAGGTTGTCGAGATCGTAAACGCATTCGGTAGGTGTTACGAGCCAGGGTTGGATCGTGTCTAGCGAAAGTGTAAAGAGTGGCTCCGTTGGAAGTGAATTAAAAGAGGCCATTGGTGGCATTAGAGTACTATGAAAGTGCAAATGAAAAGTGAAAAATGCGTTAACTAGTGTAGGTCGGATAAAGTTGCAATTGCGAGCAAAACAATAATATTACCCGGAATTGGAATCAAATGTGAGTCTTGACGACAGAACATAGCGATAGAAGCGTTTCAGAGGTAATTCATTCAACGTAAGGTGCGGGTTAAGTTGTACTTTAATAAAGACATTTTCTATGTGGGATAAGATCTAATAAAAAAATTATTATTCTGTCAAACAACGTGCTTAATTTTGAATACATACATATTATTACTAACCTCGAGAATGGCCGACCACTTTTGTGCAATTTCGCTCAATGGATCAAGTAAAACTTCGAATTGATAAATGGCCGTCTCAATGTCACCGACGTGGATTCGACTATAAAGAGTTAATTGATAACGAGAAAGTCAAGACCACAACCACCAAACAAGTTTCTTCAACACCCCGACATTCAACAAATACCTCGATCCGCTTTCAACTTTTCCAACCGTATGTTTCCGACCAGTTTCAACCTCATCCATTATTCCAACTGGAACATCAGACACGGTCGATGCGGATACGATGGACGTCAGTTTGGCTAAAAATTCAGCATGCTCTTTCCTGTAACAGAAGCAGTATGTACATGAACAGTTGGCAACAAGTCAAATTGCAGAGATATTCGAAAGCAAAAAGTCTACATTACCCATCAGTCTTTAATTCCAGACCGTTTACAGCATTGATAACAGGCACAACACGCTCTGACGACTCGACGTCAAGTAAAAGATGAAATTCGTCGGCCAGAAATATCTCTTTCGCAGCAAATGGCCCAACGATCTGAAGACACATTGGAGTCAACGAACAAGAAAAGAGCTTAATGATCAGTAACATCAAATCTACACGTTATACGTACCCTGCCGTTAATCACAATAAAACTTTCGCCACTGTTCGTTCCACAATCCTCTGTGATTGTTGTTTGCCAACTACGCCAAAAATCATCCATTGCTTTCTTGTCTTCTGCTCGCCAATCTTTAGCCTTTTCAGCGCGAACTGTCTCAATATCCTCGTCCAACAGAATATCTTCTTGCTGACCAAGAACGGAAGCGCCTGCATTCACTTTACTAATCCTTGCAGCCTTTTCCAACCCTTCTTTTACAAATTCGAAAGCTTTAGATGGGTCATCAAACGTGTCTTGATGAAATTGATAAATCGTTGACGATACGTCATACTTGTCTTCTTTGTCTATAACAGGGGCAGGATTGTGAATGAAGGAGAGCCTAACATCTTCAGCAGACTCCTACAAGATATGAGCTCATCTTTAGTCCAAGTAATAGCCTATTCTAGAAAGTCAATCACTTCATCATACTTTACCAGAAATTTTAAACTCTCGAGAGCTTGCTGCACACCAGTTTCACTATCAAAATCAGCAAAAAGCCAAACTGTCGTCCAATAACCGTTCGTTCCCAGTTTATCTGTTCATCGTAAGGGTCATGTTATAGCCTGGAAAATGAGACTCTCAGAAGCTCGAATGCAAATACTTGAAAACACGTTAGCTGAGTGAAAAATTACCCGCGTAAAGATATTTCAGGCTTTGATACTTTGCCGCAACATCATTCCTTCTGTCAGCAAGATTCAAAACTTTCAAAGGATGTGATTCTGAGATAGGAATATACATATTCCTTTTTGGTAAGACATTTGGCAATGTCATGAATAACGTCAACGCGTCCGTATTGTCGTCAAACTCCCCGGAATACACCTGCGGATAATTTGGACAGAATTATTAGATAAGTAATAATTGATGACATGATAAGAGGAAAATAGCTGTGACTTCTCCTACTTAGGAAACACAATTCGACTGTTGGTGACTTTTAAACAAGTTTTCACTATTCACGATCTATTATCGATCTGCACAGTAATCTGTGTCGGCCTCGAGTTATACGTCATAACCGTACCTTTTGTTGCAAGAAAGTTGTCTGCTCTCCTATAGAAAGCATTATATGCCGTTGATAGCTCTGTTCACAGATTACGATATTATCATACAATCATCAGTATATTCAGCGGAAACAAGACGGTTAAAAACCATCAAACAAAACAGTGCCAAGTAATATATTTCAGACCCGACGTGAGCTTCACAAACAAAACTTTCAATTCCTACCTCGTCAAAATCATGGTATCTCCCATTTATAAATAATGCGCCACTACTTCCAGGAGTTATTGCAAATCGTTTGGCGTATGCTATAGCGCCATCGATTTCCTCGGCAACTGTCGAGTCTTCGTTCAATAATTCGCTCAATTTGGTAATAATTTTGCCACTTTTTGGCTTTCTATTCGTAACAATAGTTTTAAATTCTGCTTGTGCTATTTCTAATATCGACTTTGATGGTGCCTCCCGAAGAACCTTTTTGATCATATAAATGATATAAATAAATTTTGTATTAGAAACGATAAGACTATATAAAACGAATAGTAACATGACAAACCTTGCTTATGAAATCAAAAACAGTTGGAAAGTCGTAGTTGTCTTTTAGATAATAGACCGCACTTGCCATCAATGCGGCTGAAACGGTAAAATATGTAATTAGAACGATTGCTCCAGAATAAAACCGTCCAACGTACGAAAGAATAGAAGCAAATCTTCATCGCCAAGTCCACTTACAGTCGCTCTGTTTATCACCAATGAGTGGGACAAGTCCGAAGCGTATCGGTATATTGCGCATGATGAACATATTCTCCTCTTCGACCAGTGTAAGCCCTTCGATGCTTGCAAGATCGACCACGTATAATACTGAGAATAAGTTTTTGCGTATTTGCCGTAATTGCCCCGGATACACAGGCCGTAATAACTGTGAATTTGAAGAAAAGGCGCATGAGTGCCGTGTTTATCGGTTTACAGTTTCTTGACATACATCGGTTTCCTACCGACTGAATTGCGGCTGGCCATGATGAATATCTCGGATCTTTCTCTAAATCGTTAAACCATATTAGGACATTGCCATTTTCAGATGTATCGAGAATGTTGTAGGTGTTCTTCGAGATGTCATCAGAGGTAGACTCTGTCTGAAGCATAGGAGATGAAATTAAACCAATAGCTTGAACAGGAGTTAACCCAAGGCTTGTGAGCGACAGAATTGTATGACGCTCGCGTTTTAGTAGTTTGAGGATTCTAAAATCAATCCGATTGGTTAATATATAAACGTTCTCGCGAATATTCCAACGTTTTAAACATGTATTTAATCACTCACTCGAACGGTTCAAAAGAACTCTCAGAAATCGGCATTCCGTTTAGCCATATGGCGTTCGTTCCAGGTTGGACTGTTGAGTGAACATCAGTTAACTCTCCGGCTATTGAGCTATTAAGCGTAAGTTGTGCGATCGAGTGCGAATATTTGGGAAAGTCTTGTGAAAGACGCGTCAACGCTAGAAGAGGGTTTTTTGATCCGGTAACAAATTGAGTAGACTTTGTCCCTAAATCTATATTGGAATTTCATTAGCCAAGCTTCATTTAATTGTAAGATACATGATAATGGAACATCTGTCGATATGTTACGTTTAATTTCTTCGATCTTGAGAGGTTTAATCTCTGATATAGTTTCGTCAAACAAATGTTCCGACAAAGTGCCGCGATGATCTTCTTGCTTAGCATTAGATACGTTTGCCTGGTCAGCAACAGCCTCACTTTGCTCCTCTGTACAGATTAGCGACAATCATGTAAGTCATCAGTCTAGCAATTGATGTTACGCAAGCATCATCATGTACCTGCTCCCAAGTCCCTATCATCGATAACAATATAATCCGTGTTTTTTAGGGCCAGCTCTACTCCATAACCGCTGAGATACAAATCTTCCTTTTTTTGTACGGATGGTGGTTTGTATCTTAATACATATGAAGCAAAACCCTGTTCGACCAAAGTCGATATATAACCGTGTAATAGCGAAAACTCTTGGGATAGATCCTCGGTATATAAGATGATGATTGGTTTGGGTTGGAATTGATTTGTTGGTTGAAAGATATGGTCAAATGGCAGGAGTTTGGGAGTGTCTGTGGGACTAGCAGATTTTAACATGACGAGATAATTCAATATGGATCATCTTGGTTGACGTGATTCCATGAGACGAATCTGATTAGTAGGTCAAATAGTGAATGAATCAAATACCTTTTTAATATACTGCCATGATCTGATCCCCCTTCATCAATACCGGCAATTCTTTTCAGCTCCGACACAGTACAGGCTTGTTTCCCATACCAATCAGCCCACACTTTGCAATCAGGATTAAACGTATCATTATTCGCTCGAGTCAGTAATACGGCAGTCTCATAATATTGATAATAGGCCTGAATTGTAGGCGCAGCCGTGTTAAGAGAGAGAGATAACTCGAACACAGATTTCGCTGTAGGATCAGATAGAAACTGCTTCGAAGTAATTATGTCAAAAATAGTATCATAATAATGTTTAGCATGTTCAGTGCCGGGCCCAAAGTCACGAATATCATTACGAATTATTTCATTAATAAGCGGAAGATATGCCGACGAATTGTCACGAGACACAGTTTCACTAAAAGGGTTTAAGACATTTTATTATAGAGATTCCGCGAGAGAAACAAATGATACTAACTAATTTATATTAATATCTTACACTATTTCTAACAGAATACTGGGTGCATTCCAAGATGCTTTCAATAAAGTTCTAAGAGGTGGTGTTTCAGTACTCCAAACGACAGGTAACAATACACAATACCATAACGCTACCCATGGACTTTTAAGTTTCCATGTAGCAAGCATCTTACTTTGCGTCAACCTACAAGCGAAAAAAAACAAATCGGCAATAGAAAATATGACGTTTCGCAAGCACTAATATGATTGGATGATCAAGTTATTAGTACAGTCGTCCTATTCTACCTATGATAGTTAGCATAAACCTGAGCGGGCAACTAGCTACTAGCAAAAACCTATACTACTTTGTGCTAATTAAGATAGTGGACTTTATTGCTGCGAGTTGTTTTGCGGGCAGGACACGTCCTTGCTTGTGTGGCCTGATGCTTTGCAAGTAAAGCAATAGGGAGGGATTATCATAAGGGCTTCCACTTCATGATTTTCCATTCTCCAGGGCTTGCCTCTTTTTCTGTGGTCACTACAATGCAATAGTATTAGTATTAGGGCTGCTATTCTGATGTTCAGAAGTAATAATAATTATATTATATCCACTTAGTCTAGGTTATACCCACTCAGCCAGTTTTAGTATTAGTGGATTTGGCTCAATTTAGCCATTATAATTATAATTGGGTTGGTTATACTAACACTAATACCCTCAGTTAGGTTATACCCACAGTGATGATTGCATCATCATCGCAGGGAGTTGGCTTAACATTTGCTTTGTGCAGAGTCAAGTCAATAGAGTCCTTTCATAAACATTCCTAATCTAATCAGGTCAATAATATTCTTCTTTTCAGTGTTATTTCTGTCACTTCTCCAAACATAAGCTCAAAAGCGAATTTTCCTATTTACGTAAAAAAGAAAAGACTACACTGAACCCTCCATATAAGCACGGCCTTGGAATTTTGCGTTCTTTATTTGTTTACACCTACGATTGAACGCTAAAGGTGTACCCAACACGGCCTTGGGAATGGGTCAGAGCGTGCTTATATTATATGGAGGGATGCATGTATAGAGGGTCAACATTTTATTGGTTGCACGTGACTGAACAGATATTTATTGTGGCAAAAGTTTCGTTTTTGATACACCAGGAGTTCCGTTTTTGATAGATCGGCAAGCACCCCAAATTTTGTTTCCTTTT